CTGTTAATCTCGACCTTGTGAGGTCGGAGAGCCTTTAGGGAACGCAGGGGCTTAGGGTTTTAGGGGTTTAAGGGTTTAGGGATTTAGGGGTTTAGGGTTTAGGGGTTTAGGGCTTCGGGTTTAGGGGTTTAGGGGCTTCGGGGGTTTAGGGTTTAGGGCTTAGGGTTTCGGGGCTTCGGGGTTTAGGGTTTAGGGGTTTAGGGTTTAGGGGGTTTGGGGTGTTTAGGGACTCTTGTCCCTAGTGACAAGGATTCGATGTCAGGTCATGTCGGAAAACCCAAGCTCTCAGGTAGGGGCCTTAGTAATCACCAATACTATTTTTTTTTGGGAGGGGGGGTCCTTGTTGAAGTTATAGTATCATGGGCCCCAAAACCTTATTTTGATGATTAAGGCCCCTATAGTAAGCATGTCATGGCTTTGGGGTTGAGGAGTTCAGCTTTCAGGACATGTGAACTTCGTGCTAGGGGTTTCGAGCTTACCTATAGTCTCCATTGTAGTTCCTTTTGTTGGTTTAACCAATTATACATTAAGGATTTTTCAGGTATCCCCAAAAAAAGGAACTACAATGGAGACTATAGGTAGGGTTTAGGATTCATGAGGCGGTTCGGGCCAAAGGGTTGGGCTTTGCTGTTTGCATAACGAACTGTTACCGAACCCTTGTCACTAAGGGACAAAAAAGTCCCTAAACCCTGCACCCTAAAGGCCCTGCACCCTAGAACCCTAAACCCTAGGCCCTAAACTCTAAACGATATAGACCTGGTCAAGACAGGGAGGGTGGAAAACCAAGAAATCTGCTTTCGGTTTCCCGCAACCCTGGACCTGAAAACAACCTGAAACGCCAAAGACCGAAGAGTGGTACCCATTTAACCCTAAACCCTAAACCCTAAACCCTAAACCCTAAACCCTATAGGGTTCAGGTTTAGGGGTTTAGGCTTTAGGGTTTAGGGTCTAGGGGCCCATAGCCTCTTAGGCCCTAAACCAACCAGAAGCCGGGTGCAGGATCCGTACACCTGAAGTCCCATAAACTTAGGGTCTAGGGTTTAGGGTTTAGGGTTTAGGGTTTAGGGTTTAGGGTTTAGGGTATGTTCTGACATCCCGCAAGAGTCTACGCGCCCTCAAACCGCCCACTGTACAGGTCGTCCATGGCTTCTTGATGCTGCCATTCTTCGTCATGCTCGTTGTACCTATCCTTAGGACCGCCTCATTGCAGATACATACATACATACATACATACATACATACATACATGCATGCATACATACATACATACATACATACATACATACATACATACATACAGGCATTTCCATGCTTGAATGCTTTTCTTTCGCACCTGTTGGTTAAGGTACCATTATGAGAGAAACGTCTATACGTGTGTTTCCGTGGCTACTTCAAAATCCAGTTTATGATATCTGTCTATATTCAATTATCCAGTCCGTCTATGTATCTATACTTGCATGCAGTATACTGAGGGCTCTAAGGCCCAAAGGGGTTGCTACGTAGGTACCTTAAGGCTGAAACATAGGTTTACAGGGTTTAGGGTTCAGGGTTTCAGGTTCAGGGTTTGGGGTTCAGGGTTTAGGGCTGAGGGTGTAGGGCACACAGGAGGTCGGAGGCGCAAGCCCAGACCATTGGGTATACTTCTGCGCCTGTCGGTGCTTTCACAGATGTTTGTTTATTCTTTTCTGCCTTAAATGCTTATGCAGACTGCTGCGATGTGCTGTGAAGCTACATATGAACGGCTTCAGGTCCTAAACCCCCCTGAAGGCACTGACTACATCTGGTTTGGTATCCTGCTCCGGCGCCGGAAGCCTTAAGACGCAAGCCTTGTCCGTAAACAGAACCCTAGACCCTAAACCGTGAAGCTTAAACAGCAAGCCCTGCATGTAAGCAAGCCTGAAGTGCAGGAACGTCGTTCTCCACACTCGCCCGACGGGCTACGATCGCAAGGGCAACTGTCGCAACTACACGGGCCCAGCAGGTCAGACACCGAAGGTGGGCGACCAACCTTTAATGTGCATACCAGGTCCCCAGGTTACAGGTTACGGGTTTTAGACAGACACGCGCACACACACACGCACACACACCGACAAACAAAAGCACAGAGAGACACGCGAACAAGCGCAAGCACACCCACAGAGATATACGCGTGTGTATGTATGGGTGTATATATGAATATATATATATATATATACATATATATATATATATATATTGAAATACATACAATTTTCCTGTCTATTTATTATTGGTTGGTTCATTCGATCTATTTATTTATAGATTCATGTTAGGCTATTTATGTTTTGTTTTGTCCTGGCAGCTATGCGTGCATGCATGCATGCATACATGCATGCATGTGAACAGGTGTGCATCTACATATGTATATATATATATATATGTGTGTGTGTATGTTTCGTCTTTGTTTGTTTATTCATTTAGCTTTTTAATGATTAATATGTACTAGATACTAGTTATGTGCACACACATGCATTGAAATATGTGTGCACAATATACATTGAGTGCTGTAGTACAATTAGATCTCGATGTGTTCCATGGGCTCAATGATTAGCGCGGCGTTTTTCGAGGAAATTCCAGTATCTTGAGGGTCACATGACCCCCAAAATCATATGGTGCTCTAAACCAGCAACTATTACCCGTTTAGGGTAAGGGCTCTTCTGGGAGATGAACCACATACCCTTTCGGCGCTCCGTTGGTGCATCAGGTGGATGGGGTCCGTGGACGGATCCTGTCAGGCCTACTCGAGGCAAATACTTCCCTACTTAAAGGATCATGTGACTTAGTAAGTAAGGTTATAATCCCCTAAATTGGGGTTATAAGTATAGTTACACTAATTATAACCCTACTTACTAAGTCCCAGAATCCTTTAAGTACCTTAAGCAACCAGTGTAGCTTACATCGCACAGCAAGGATTTGCAGGGTTGTTTGGCGAGAATTCCCCAACGACCCATTAAGGGACTATAAGGCCGGGCGAGAGCCCCAAACTCTAAGCCGCCCCTGAAACCCATAAGACTATAGCACATGCAGGCCCGCAGTAACCTAAACTAAACCCTAAACCCTAAACCCTAGACCCTAGACCCTAAACCCTAAACCCTAAACCCTATACACTCCGAAGGCTGAACCCTATGAAACCACAGGCTGCAGAGGTAATCCCGCAGATGGAGCTGTTCGGAAGAGCTGAGGCTCAGCGCTTGTCCCCCGGCCCCCTACTTAAACCCCAAACCCTAAGCCCTAAACCCTAAACCCTAAACCCTAAACCCTAAACCCTAAACCCTAACCCTAAACCCTAAACCCTAAACCCTAAACCCTAAACCCTAAACACCATATAAGCCTTAAGAACCCAAAACCCATCTTTTTGTAGGTTCTTATTATAAACCCTACTATGGGATTTCTGGGGACCCTACAAAAAAGTAGGTTTTGGGTTCTTAAGGTAAGCCTTAAACCCTAACATAATATGTCCTTTGGCCTTGAGGGCCTCCAAAAGCTCAAATAGCCCAGCTTGATAACAAGAGCCGCAACCCAAACCCACAAACCCGGAATTCTCGCTATAAGCCCTTTAGCAACTGAGTCCTCAGGTCTAAATAATCAGGAAAAGGTCACTGCAGTATATTATTTCTTATATCTTATGGATGAAATCCTATTGAAATTATGAAGGCTCTTATACTAAAGGCTCGTGCTAACTTAAAGTGAAGCGTTTATGTCATGTGTCAAGAACCCAAGAGCCCTCTTCCCCACATCAGGGATTGCGATCCTCAACCTAGAGGGTGCGGCCCTAAACCCTAAACCCTAAACCCGAGATATATATATATATATATCAACTTTAAAAAAACCCGAACTGAGCTCGCGAATACTCTACCCTGAGTGGCTTTTGTACCGAAAGCCCTAGTCTTTGAGCAGTTGGACCCTGAGGGACCTTCACCCCTCAACCGTAAACGGTTTAGGGTTTTGGGTTTAGGGTTTAGGGTTTAGGGTTTAGGGTTTAGGGTTTAGGGTTTAGGGTTCCCTAAATCCCTAAAGCTCCTTGCCCTAAACCCTATAAAGCCTAAGAAACCCTGAACCTTCAACTTCTAAACCCTAAGCCCTAAGCCCCAAACCCTCATCAATCCTAAACCCTAGGCCCTATATAAACCTAAAACCCGCATAAATCCTAAACCCTACGCCATAAACCTTAAACCCTCATAACTCCTAAGCCCTAGACTCAAAGCTCTAGATCTGCCCTTTAAGGGACCCTGTACCCTCAACCCTGGTTTAGGTTTTAGGGCTTTGGGTTCAGGGTTTAGGGTTATAAGGTTTGGGTTTTAGGGTTGAAGGTTTAGGGTTTAGGGTCTTCAAAGCTCTATGGTTCAAGAATCCTTTTCGGGTGTTTAGGGTTTAGGGTCTTTGCTAGATTAATTGCTCCTGAAAAGAGTTTCTGCAAGGATTCTGTTAGGGGTTCCTTGCTCCGGGTATCTTTGGGCGTTCCTTTCAGGGTTCCTGGTAAGGCTTCCTGCAAGTTTCTGGAAGTTAAGATAGGCGCCTTAACAATTACCTACACTATTTTGGGGGTTCCTTAATCTAACTTTCGTATAATATACCCCAAAACCCTATTCAAATGATTATGCACCCTAAACCCTGATAGTAGACCTTATAGAACCCTTTAAGGAATCCTTTAAAGGGAGCCCCTAAACCCTAAACTCTCAACCCTAAACCCTAAACTCTGAACCCTAAATTTAGGGTTTAGGGTTTAGGGTTTAGGGTTTAGGGACCCCATAAGGACATAAGCATAAGCATTTTATCGGGATATCCTTACCGTATTGGGCTAAGGGGGTTTATATGGGATATCCCTATCCTAATTCTTGCTTATGTGCTTGCCTTACCCGAGCGCCAGTGCGATAGAGACGCTAAACCCCAAATTCTAAATCCTAAACCCAAATCCCTAAACCCTAAACCCTAGATCCTCAGCCCTAAGAAGCCCTAAGCCCAAAGACGCTACGACCCTAAACCCAAATTCCTAAGCCCTAAGCCCTAATAAGCCCTGATACGCCCTAAACCCCAAGACCCTAAGACCCTAAAGCCTAGATCCTAAGCCCTAATAAGCCCTAAACCCCAAGACTCTAAGACCCTAAACCCTAAACCCCAAAGCCCTAATAAGCCCCAAACCCGAAGACTCTCCAAGACCCTTGGGGATGATGTCGTGAACCCTAAACCCTAAACCCTAAACCCTAAACCCTAAACCATGTCCGAAGGCGGAGGAGCTCATGGCGAACTTGAAGAAGCTGCCTGGTCTTAGGTTTTGCCGGGATGTTGGGTGTGTGGTGTTGGGGTCTTACGACTTAGGCTTTGGGTTTAGGGTCTAGGGGCTTTGGGGGTTTGTGGTTTAGGGTTTAGGGTTCAGGGTTCAGGGTTTAGGGTTTAGGGTCTTACGATTCAGGCTTAGGGTTTAGGGTCTTAGGGTTTTACCGTTTAGGGTTTTGGGGGTCGCAAGTATTGGTTTGGGGTCTTGGTTGTGTTCTCCTGCGATACCTGTTTTGATTTCTTTGGAGGGGGTGTGGTAGGGCATGCGGAGTTCCTGCCTATGATTATAAGTATCATATACCCCCGCCAAAGCCCTGTTCTACTTCTTATACTTCTTCAAGCTACTTTAAGAACCCCTTAAAGTAATCCGTATTTTTGCCCCCTTGAAAAGAACCCCTTAAAGTAATCCTTATTAAGGCCCCTTTGAGTCCGTTTTTGGGGTGTGACCCTCAAGCGTCCAGGTCTTCTCAGGATCCGAAGCTTCCTAAGCAGTGCCCTTGGTTTTCTTTGGGACCTCAGCATCTGGGGCCTTAGACCCCTAAACCCCTAAACCTTATAACCCTAAACCCTATAGGGAATCTAA